CTGCGAGACTCTGTAGCATATTGTTTCGAGACTCCGTAGGCAAGTATATCCGTCACTCTTCAAATAATTAGCAAACTTCGTGTAATTTAAAAAAAAATGGATACACAATACAAAGAATCGCAACTTCTGGAATGATTCGATGTGCTAACTTCGCAAGACTCGTAGTGAAACGTCACAATACGAGTAGAGATCGAGTAAAGGCGAAAGATTAAGTGTCACATTACTATTCAGGAGAGTCAACATGTGATTGGAATGAATGGTGCAAACGGAACGGTTTATTTTACTGGTGAATATTAAACTGGTGGTAATGATAAAACTGATGGTAATGAATAAAAGTGTTCAGAAACTTTACACTGTTTGTTAACACGTGTAGCATCTACACCAGCAGACATTCTGAGCACGACTGATGGATTTCGATAATTCAAGAACGGTGAGAGACTGGTGGATGCCGGAGCACCTTGCGTGTAATCAATGCAGATTGTCATGCGTGCCGGTCGTGTAACGCATGCTGAATAGTAATTACTCACTGCTTTTTGTACGGCATGATGTAACGCCTGAATGCCAATCAATCATAGTAGCAAAAACATTTTGTCTAGTCCTTTTTTCAATCCCGATTATCATTGTATTAATTTAGTTTAATCCAAAAATGCACCATACACAGTTTGAGATCTGTTGGATGGAACAAGAAAGTTTACTGATGTCAAAAACATGGTGAGCGAATTGTTAGTTAGCTGAGACCATAAGTTTTGATAGTTATTCAAGGTGGGAAACATTATGAGAAGGTAAATTTTAATGGGCAAATAGTTGTTTTCCATCGGTGACTGCTTTCCACAATGTTATTCAATGCATTCATCTGCGGCAAGGAAACTGACTTTGAACGATGTTGTACGGCGCATCTCAAATATCCAGTAATTATGCGGACCTAACACTAGTTTTGTCAAATCAACCTGGCATTTACACGCACGATTGATCTCCTAGTAATTGCCTCGAAAACTCACGTTACTATCCACAGTCGTATAAAGATTCTCATTTTGTCCACTCGATGCTTCTGACGTTGAATTCTTCGTAGATCTAAACTGACCGTTTCCAGACGGCACTCTTTCCATAATTCAGTGCTTCAGTCGAGCACTACTCCGAATCGTTCAAATAATATACAATGATAAACAAATCACCAAACCACCATTTTAAGGGATTCAGTGCAAAATTCAAATTTCTTCCTACGAAATTTGCATTACTACGAAAAAACTCACAAGAAGAAATTTCAAATTTATGCTAAAATTGAATGCATAATTTTGTATTTTAAGCAAACGCTTGTTCTCGGTGAGATATTGAAAATTAATATACTTCACGAGAATGTAGGTATTCTGGGCGAATCCACTCAGATGCAGCGTTTCTATTGCCCTCAAAGGTTTTCTTGATGGGATTCCTTCATGGTTCATCCGCAGTTTTGAATCTGTGTGAGAATGAGGATAAAAATGTAATATTACCTCTAATATGTCTAACTTCAAGCAATTATATTATATAAAATTCGCGGTAAGAGCTTCAATATAAATGCTGACAAATCGCAAAAAATGAAAAGATGAAAGAGAAAAATAAGTGATTTCGGAGCCATATTATACAACAATAAAATGAATAAAGAGCCGTAAAGATAACCGACAACAAAGTATCTCAACGATATTATTGGTAATAACAGTAAAAATGGAAGAAATGACAATAATAATGGATATAACGATCAAAGTGAAGAGCAATTCGGTAATGTGGACAGTGAAAATAGCAAGCCTTATGGAATAACATTATTTT